ATTACTCTCCACACCTTCAAGTCATCTGCGAACAACGCACATGGTGATTGGAGTAGCTTAGGCACATCGTTTACATGAATCAGAAACAATATCGGCCCCAGTACAGTGCCTTGGGGCACGCCGCTGCTCGATGGATACCAGTCCGTTAGATTGTTGTCCACCTAGACTCTCCACTTTCGATCCACAAGGAAACTTCTGATCTATTTGTGCAGCGAACCACCAACACCGTACATCCTCAGCCTGTCAAGGAGCACTGCATGGTTGACCTTGTCAAAAGCCTTACTGAAGTCAATGTAAATGACATCGACTGAATGGCCTTGGTTCATCGTTTGTAACCACTCGTGCCTTGTCAACAGTAGGTTGGTGATGCACGAGCGACCTTTCATGAAACCATGCTGTGCGGAGGTCAACAGGTTTTTCGACTCGAGAAGCTGCAGAAGGTTCTTCTTCACAATCTTCTCGAGCGTCTTTGCCAAAACAGCAGTCAGGCAGATCAGCCGGTAGTTATCCACTTTGCTTGGGTTACCACCTTTCGGGATAGGCTTTACGACTGAGCATTTCCAGTCGTCTGGTAACAGTCCAGTAGATAGTGACCTGTTAAACAGTTCAGTTACAGAAGGCGCGATGATGGCCGATAGGGACTTGAGGATCAGTGGGTGTATACCATCTGGCCCAGCAGGCTTCGTCCCGTCAAGATTTGCTAGAAGCTTGCGCACATCCTCAATATTGCAGTCCAGGCTGTTAACTTCGGCTGGAGCGGTACTCGTCGAACTCGTTACAGACACCTGGTCACTTACAAATACGGAGGCGAAGTGCGTCGCCAATGCGGACGCACAATCTGTACTCGAGGTTAGGGACTGTCCATCGGAGCCTTCTAACACTGGGACATTGGCTACAGGCCTCAAACGCCGTTTCACATATGCAAAGATCCTCTTGGGAGCAGTTTTTGCGGCGGCTGCAAGCTCCTCTTCGAAGCTTCTGCGTTTTCTTGTTTTCGCGTCGCTGCAGCGATTTCGCTGGACCTTGTACGCATTGTAGTCCTCATCAGAGCCAGATAACACGAACTTGTTCCATAGTCTGCGTCGTCGTCGGGCCAGTTTGTTGTACTCTTTGTCGAACCAATGTGGTTTGACTGGCCCAACTTTTCGAAATTTGAGGGGTACAAATCGGGCGCACAACGATTTTACTCCCTCTTTAATGATAGTCCAACGGGTTTCAATAGATGAATCCTGTGGTAAAGACCAGTCTCTCTGGCTCGCTGCTCGAATGAGGCCATTAAAGTCCGCCTTCCAATAGTTGAAAGTTGGCTCCAGTGGGGGAGAATACTGCAGTGGTAGTTCCATGCTGCCTATAATCATCGAGTGGTCGCTTGCTCCCAGAGGCTCTAAGACTTGAATGTTATGCACACGCTGCTCACTACTAGTCAAAAGTAGGTCTAAGCATGATGGAGCCGCACGCGCAGTAATGCGTGTCGGTTGGTTGATGTGCTGTGTGGCCCCAGTTTCAAATAGCAACTCCGTAAACTTCCTCTCGACTTCACAGTGGCCGGGGAGAAGTTCAGCTTCCGGCCACTGTATTCGGAGCAAGTTGAAATCGCCCATGAGTAGGAATATCTGACGACTCATGTATTTGCGGACATGCGGCAACCAGTCCAAACTGCGGCTCAGTGGGCTGCGATATACGACGCCCACGAGCAACTCGCAGCGTCTGAGGTAAATCGAACATCATAACTGCTCACATAGACCATCAGCGCTTTGGTAGGTGCTCACTAGTCTCCCACACAAGGAAGACTTTATGTAAAGTAGAACGCCACCGCGATCATTTGATGGTCTATCGCAGCGGAAGCATGAGTAGCCTGTGATTTCCACTTCTTGGGCGGTTACGTCGGAGTTTAATCATATCTCAGCAAGGCTCAATACGTCTGGTCGTTGAGAGCTTACAAAGTCGTACAGCACATCGCGCTTGTTCATCAGACTGCATACATTGGTAAAGGCTACGCGCAGACCGCGGTAGGAACCGCTGGGCGCGCCTGAATCATTAGAGACCTGTTGATCCGGATTCGTGGAGGAATCCGGGCAACCACCCGAAAATTTACAATTCGCAGATTGGGTTCTCCATCATCCGTGCGTCGCTTTAGTTCGATCATAGCAGACTTGAGCTTTTCTCTATCTGAGCAGACTTGAGCTTGAAGATGAGGTTACGAACCATATAGCAAAAGCTCGAGGTGCTTTTGCCAATCTCCGCCACTTGTGGCGCAGACGCGACATTACTCTCGCCCTGAAGGGTAGAGTTTACAACGCAGCCGTCCGTTCAACTCTCCTATATGGTTGTGAAACCTGGCCCGTCAGGTCGACAGACATAAAGAAGCTCGTCATGTTCGATCATCGCTGCCTTCGCAGCTTAGCTCATGTCTAGTGGGGGCACCGCGTGAGTAATGAGCGTGTTCGACGTCGCGTATTTGGTGCAGGAAGAGCGAGTGAACCGCTCAGCGCCATTATATCACGCACCAGGCTCCGATGGCTGGGCCACGTGTTGCGCATGCCGGTACACCGACTCCCGCAACGTGCATTGTTAGCCCGTTATGGGTGCGGTTGGAAGAGGAGGAGGTGAGGCCAAGTGATGACTTGGTCGAGAGAAATGAAAATCCCCACTTCGAAGTTGGCGTCGGTTGGTGCATTCCGACTGCCTGGCTGGGGTCCTAAGGACGGTGAACACGTTTGGTTGGACACACTTGCTGATATGGCTTAGAGCCGGCCCCAATGGCGTTTGTGTTGTGAGTTCCTTTGTCCATCCCCCTCCTGTTTAGCATCCCCCTTCAATCACGATCTCAATCGTTAGGCATAATATGACTTTCTTTTGCGGCAGCCAGCTGTTAGCTCTCCGGAACGATGTCCATCCGTTACTGGGGACTCAGCGGACGTGCCACCGTTTGTTTTCCTTTTCTTATCTTTTGTATTGCGGCATAATAGCTGAGGTGTTTTCCACCTCCAGCTAACGTGTAATGATGATGATGATGTAAGCGACTTCAATGTCCAAATGCTTATTGGTCGAGTTCTCTTTTGAATGCCAGGCTTCAATGAACTCACGTGCTTGCCGGCTTTTAGCCCTTCCGAGGATAGGGGCATGCTCTAGGTCGAATTGATGGTTCTCGGCATCCATATGCACTGACATCAGGGAGTTCTGATCGTGGCGACGAATGGCTAGGCTTTGTTCGTGTAGCCTTGTGCTAAGCCTTCTTCTAGTCTGTCCCACGTAGTATTTGTCGCAGTTCCGGCAGCAGATCTTATAAATCGCACCAGTTTCTTCCTCTTTGCTGTTTATCTTTCACTTTGAAGAGTTTACTTCCAATTGTTTCCGTTGGCTGGTGTGCAACTTTGACTCCAGAAGGCAATAAAAACCTCGCTACCATTTCAGAGATACCGTTGATATAGTGCAGTGTTGCTCACTTTTCAGCTGTTGCATTTTTTGAGGTGTGTCGAGCAACCTTTTGTGGTGCGAGGCAGCATAGAATGAAGCCTTTCGGGTACGAATTCCGCTTGAGAAGATTGCAGAGATGGTCTTCTTCTGCCCGTCTCAGCTGCGGTGTGCTTCAATGGGTTTGTGCTCGTTTGAAAAGGGTTCGCACGCAGCTGCGTTTGTGGGCTGCCTGATGATTGCTGCAGCTTAGAGGTTGGGCATAAAGCCGTCACTTAGTCATGTGTAACTTGCCAAACTAGTGACATCACAAGACGAAGGTTGCTCAGAACGAAGAATTTCGCAAAATGCAAAGTTTACAAACTAGCCATTCATCGTGCAGTCCGTGATCGTCGACGTACTATGGTTTATTACTACGAAAGTTGGAGTGATCACCTAAGAAAGACCAGTGCAAGAGGCTGGGCATCGGATGGACAGTTTTCTTGTTCGTCCCAAAAACAGTTAAGTTAGAAAAGAATGCGGGTTGCTTTGATTACAAAAGACAAGATATAAGTGGAACGACTCCCATCCTTCAAGTTTTGAATTTCGACTGAAGCTTTATAAACTTGCTCTTTAGCCGAAGTTGGCATGTTCTGAAAGTTAAGCGTTTGGATTTTGCGCAACTTATGCATTAGGTCAGTGAAGATTGGTGTTATATAATGTCTTTACCAAGTGAAACAGTTAACAATTCACTGTTATCCATACTGACTTTGGTGTTCTGCAAGAGCGATCCTATAAGCTTTTCTGTTCTCTGCATATTTCGAACGCCTCTATATACCAACCACGTTTATAAGATGCAACTATCATGACGATATGGTGCTGTGATGTGTAGCTCCCACTATTCAGGACTCGTCGCTGCAACATCATTTAGAGATCTGGTGGGGTGATATTCAACCAGATCCCTTACTCTTAACGCATCCAAATGCACTGATGTGATATCTTTTCTTTTCCTCGTTTTGGTAACCTGCAATCTCCCCCACTCTGACTATGTAAAAGATTCCATCCCCACAGTATCTTTTTGCCCCATGACCTATCTTAGTCCACGTACGCTTGTAAAACTTTTCATAAAATCAGAAAGCCTTCTTTTTACTATTTGAGTTTGTGACCTCATGCGTTATCCCTCATTGGTTATACTGCTCCGTTGTCATCTTTCCTGAATTACTCCAGAAAGACTAAATCTTATCGCTACTCTCGATAAAGAGAATTTTTAAATGCCGAGGTTCGTTAGTTAATTTGATCATTTCTAGACATCTTGCTGATAACAATAATTTTTCTTAAAGTACTAACTGACCAACTTTATCCATTGCACAGATGTCTATCAAAAACGCTCTCTTTCTCTTCTAGGTATCAAAAACAAACTTTTATTATCGTATCCTAGTACCATCTTACCTTGTATATCATGTTTGCCTGTTGACCCAGTGAAAGTCATCAACCTGGTGCGCGACGGTTTTTGGGGGAGACAGTTGTGTACAGGTTTTGTTTTTCCTCCTACTTATGCATATTATATGGATATTATCGTTTAGTACTTCCTCAGTCGTGGTGTAACTGTTGAAAATGAACCCCTAAGGATTTATAGAGTTTATTGGGACTTGACTTGAACTAATTTTCCGGCAGTTTGCTGTGAAAAAGCACAGTGTGCGTGGGCCATAAGGAATATAAAATGACGAAGTGTGTGCGATGACAACCATGGAACTCTCTAAGCCAGATGATCTATGGCGCTGTGTCAGTCAATGGAACCGCTGGTCCCTATTTCATTACTTTTGGGATCCCCACGATTGGTCAGAAGTATGTTGGATTGCTACAGAAGAAACTAGAGCTCCCTATGCGCTTGGAAACCTGCGAGACACCCATGCGCGATTGGACAGCTTGTCACAGATCACAAATGGTATCGGCCTTTTTGAACAAACGGGAGGTAAAGACTCTTTGCTGACTTGAAAACAATTCTGACCTGAATCCGCTTGAGAATTTGTGGTAAATTTTAAATGTCGCTTCCAATCTATCGAGGTCTTACTTGAAACCATCATAACTGCATGAGCGAAAAAAATCACATGGAATATTTCCGAACTTTAATTAATAACATGCTTCACCGCATATTGACTGTGGTTGAAATCAAAGGACAAAGCAAGTACTAATGCCTTGTCAGATTGTTTTTCTCAGCGTCAACATTGCACCTCTGTTAGGTACCCGGTATCCCTCTTTATTCAATATTCAATCAAAGCTTTTTGGAAATATCCTTCAATGTTTTTTAAGCTTGTTAAGCACTGTATTTAAAAACGGTTGCTCTGGTGCCTTGTGGTTTCCACATTTACCTTTCCTCCGTCGCTACTTTACAGGCTTATCAAAATCAGCGTCGCCTGAATACCGATATAAAGGAGCTACATACAAATCTGCAGGCACACGCTCGTAACGCTAAAGATTGGATTAACTTGGTGGATGAATTCACTAAGAGCATGAAACAATTGGGGGATGTGGAGCACTGGGCGAAGAAAATGGAGCGTGACGCGCTCATTCTAGATGGATGTCTTCGACTCGCACTGACAAACTCCCCTTATTTCGAAGTGACCGTTCCCAGATAACCCACACAACCGTTGATTGCCCCTCCTTACTCCGTATTCCGCAAATTCCATGGGAAAAGCGGCTTTTCATCAGTTTAAGCAGTGCTTTTCCTTTTTTGTGCGTGCTCTTTTCTTTTAATACTTATTTTTCAATGTTGATGCATACCGCGAATTTTAAGAACCTTCTCCATTCGTGTGCGCACTATCATCTCCTACCGGCTGACTAACTTCATGATGCCCATCCGCTGCTTTTAGGTAAAAAAAACTAGATGTTTTCTAGTTCAGGTGGTTCTGCTGTTTATAATCCAATCACCGTCGAACGCTGAACTCAGTTGTCTCGGCTCCCACTGAGCATAATCAGACTAACACTGAGGAAACCGCAGATGCATCGAAAACGTATCAATCGTCATTTCGAAGGCTGGTACTAGTTAGAAGATAGTCAACTCATCAGCGTCATATTTGAACCGAACATTGTAAATAGCCGTTGTATTTACAACTGTAGGGCACGTGATCATTGTATTGGTTATGTTTTGACTCTTACAATCTTTGTAGGACCAATAAATACTACTACGAGATGAAGCACCTAATTGGGCGCAGATATGAAAAGGTAGATGGGGTCGGACACAACGGACTATATTCTAGGTGCTACAAAAAGACGTGGGCGGATGAAGCGAGACAAGAGTGAATATCATTACAGTAACTTACAGAACAGGCGATTCTCGAGATTAAAACAAGAAAGAATAGTGTTCAATTGAGCATCCATGAAATTGTGCATAAGAGTAGTTATCTTTAGGGGCGCTACAGAGCTATATCACTAGAAGGCTGAACAAAAAGAGGCCTTCGATGTCGAAAATGATGGGTCAATCGGAGTTCTTTGGGCAAAATCATGCCGAGTAAAGGTGAATGAGCATTCGTATCAAATGTTGGTTAGCCAGAAATCGGATTCCGCTGCGCCGTTTTTCTTTGACTGCAGGGTAGGGTGTTTATGGGCGAGCTGTTGGAGCGCGCTTGTCGGACCTCGAAAAACAGGCTATCCCAGAAAAATAGCCGACAGGACCTCAAACCTCGCTGCTGCCAAGCAAAGCGCTTGAGAGTGGCCTTTCCGCGCCGTAGTGACCCACCTCCCACGAAGAGACGTCCCGCGTTCGCGTTCGTGTCCTTGTTGACTGCGGCGATCCTCGAAAGCCTTGCTCATGTGGGCTAGTAGATCGAGGGAGAGGATTTAGGCACGTAGAGACGAAAAAGAAAAACCCAGAACACACCAGAGAGAACAAACGAATGACTTGCGTGCAAACATGTTTAGGTATTTTTGCTTTTGGATTTTCCTTCAAAGTTTTTTATGTTTTCGAAAAGTTACTCGACCAGAAACGGGGCAGTTATCTGCAATATACACAAACCAAAACGTATTTACGTTGTACAAAGTCGGAAAAGCAAACGGGCTAACGAACCTCCCGACCACAGTGGTTGCTCGTGGGAGGCGACAGGCCGGGTTTCGAAGGTGTCGGGGCCCCTGTTTATATACTGGAATCGTGGTCTAGTTTTACGACATTAGGACGCTGAAAATCGGTGCGGTTAGTTATGATGTCGCACTAAGCATTACTAGACAATGTTGGTGAGGTGGGCTTGTTTTAGAAGGTCGATGGTGACGATTTCGCCTCGGCCATCGGGGCCGATCGCAAATGTCTTACTTGTTCCGTTGATCACTTTGAAGAGTCCGATGTACAGCGACTGCAGGGTCTGTCGATCACCGTTTACGCGAAGCAGTACTTTGAGCAAATAGGCCATTTTCTGGGCGTGTACCCTGGTGTCTTCTGCAACTGTGAGGCGGTTGGGCGCAGCTCACGCATTTGATGACCCAGCCTATCGGTGTAACTTCCGTAGTCGACGGAGTAAGTGCGCGATGCTATTGTTACCAGCTGTTCGGGAAACCGCAGCGTGCAGCCGCAGACTATTTGAGCTGGTGTTACGTCGAAATCAGTTTTAACGGTGTTCTTAAGGCCAAGGAGAATAAGAGGACGAATTTCGCGCATTGAATGGCCTGCGTGCGCTCGGAACGCTGCCTTCCGTTGGCTATGAAATCTCTACCGTTAGCGGCCGGATGATACACTGTCGTCTGGACGTGGCGACCGCCTTAATCCTTAAGCACTTTTGCAAAAGTTTATAAGAAATGTGATCCTCCATCGGTGGTCACGATGGTGGGACAGCCGTATGGAGCTCCCCAGCGCCTTCAAAACCCCTTTGCTGCTGTTTCCGAAGAGCAGTTCGGAATCGGATTAGCCTATGGCCACGTGGTGAATCAGTCGATGCAAGGTGGCACGTATACCGAGCCTTTCGAAAGGGGGCAGTGAACCTACGAGCTTGACTTGCACGTGATGAAAACGTATCTCTGGCGTCGGAAACCCGTCTAACGGGCTTTTCGTGTACTTTTTTACCTTCGCGCGTTGACACGGAAGGCAATCAGCTGCCCAAATACGAACCTCGCGATTGACATTGCGCCAAATGAATCGTGCACTTACGAGTTTACCCGATACACGTAGGACCGGGTGAGACGAGCTGTGCAACATGTCGAACACAGTCTGTCGAAATTTGCGTGGGACGACTGGACGCGGCGTGTCCAGAGGTTAATCGGAAGTGTACTTCCGTCTGATGTCAGCGGAACGGGTCGTATGCCCACTGAGTGGGACCCGCGTAGTAAATCAATCCCAGGATCACTGTTGTGCTGCGGCTATGCATCCAGGTCGATAGTAGTGCCAGCGTCAGCGGAGGTCGCCTGAATTCGGGAAACTGGTTTGACGACGGCGTTGTACACACCTGAGACACGTCGTATATCGGTCGTAACCTGATCGATCTAGTCTAGGTGGCTCGACTCTAGGAGAGTATCGTTTGGTAGTTGAGCTGAGCAGGGTTTTTTGGTCGGTGAAGACAGCAAAGGCGCGGCCTACTAATACAAGTCGAAAATGACGTATGATCATGTAGATGGCTAATAGTTCAATACCGAAAGTACTGTAACGAGATTCGGTTGATTGCATGTGTTTAAGGAAAAATGAGAGTGGCTGCTAAGCGTTACCTACATTTCACTCAGACCGCACCAACTACCATGTCAGAAGCATCGCTACTGTACCGCAGTGGGGCTACCGGGTTGTATGCGCTATGAAAGCTATGTTGGCGATAGCTTTGAACGCGGTGTATGCTGCAGAAGAAAAATCGTATTTCTTAAGCTTTCCTCGGTGAAGGTACATGAGGGGTCTCCTAAGCGACGCATATTTTGGTAGAAATCGGCGATAAAATTTAACAGGCCTGTCAAAGTGTCTTAATTGTTCGAAAAAGTGAGGCTCGGGTTAGTCGATGATGGTCTTAGTTTTATTCTGTAGTGGCAGGACGTCTGTGGGTGAGATATGATGGCCGAAAAAACTAGAAGTACCGACACCAAGCAGACATTTTTGTGCGTTGCCCGTTAACCCTTGTTGGGATAAACGGTCAAACAGTGTTTACGCATGGCACAAGTGTTCCTCGTGATGAAGATGTCGTCGAACTACACATAGGCTGTCTTGATCGATGAAATGTTAGAAAGTTTGTGCGACATTCTTTAGACTAAACGACATGCATAGAAACTCGAAAAAACCAAATGGAGTCGTTACGGTAGTTGTGATGTCCGCTTATACTACCTAAATTTGGTTGTATGCGGATACAAAGTCGGTTTTGCTAAAAGCGTTTTTACCTACCATAATGGCGGTGAGTTCCACGATGCGTGGGATCGGATAGCGGTCGGGCCTGATAACCGCATTCAAGGTTCGATAGTCCTCCATGACCTTCTGGATCATGTGGAGTGGTTGCACCCATGGGCTTTTGGATGGTCTGATGATACCGAGCTGGAGCATGTGATGGAATTCAGATCGTGCGACACGTAGTTTGTCTGCTGCGAGTCGTCTCGGTCGGACACTTGGGTAAGCTGCGCGTGTTTATGTGATGAGCGACCTTTGTCGTGAGCGGCGGAAGGTTCGCAGCTAGTCATACCAGTCGCGGGTATTGAGACAGTAGGTTCGCATAACCTGAAGGTACATCAGCGATTCGGAAATGGGATCGATTATCGGGGCGTCTTAAATAACGCCTTCAACCCTTAGTTTAGCACTGTCGTCTTACAGTCTGGCAATCAGCATCAACAAACAGTCCAAAATGGCGGAGGAAGTTGATGCCGCTAATTGCGAAGGGTACAGACGCAACCATGAAAACCCACTTAGAATCTCCGCGGAGCTCGATGTCTAAGTTCATCATGTGCTCACCGAATGAAGATATCGGGGAGTCCTTGGCCGCACGCAGATTGTACGTGGGTTTTGAGTACTTGCTGTCCGCTTTCACGGAGATGACGCTCACTTCCACTCCCGTGTCGATGAGGAACCTGACGAAAGAATCTCGATCCTTAACGTAAAACGGGCGATGAGTTTTCTTCTTACTGGATGCGTTGGTCGTGCTTGTATGTGGGCTTTTCGCTTTCCGTGAGGCCTCTGAGTCGTGTCTAATGCAGGCAGCCCGATAACGTCTAGCTTTCTCATCATACTGACGGTGATACCAACATAATTCTTCGACGGGTTTGGTATTATCGGATTGCGAACGTGCAGAGAAAATGTTGCGCTTTTGTGTCGAACGACAAATACTCGGTGCAGGCGCAGACGAACCGCAATGAACGGTAGCCAAAACGTGGCCAGCGTCTGACCATGGCATACGCTGTTTCAAAGCCTTCATTGCTGCCATCTTGCTGTGAAGGAGCGCAATTTCCTCTTCTTTATAGTCAGATCGGCCTGACAATTTGGAGCAAATGTGAGACACTATTTTTATCGATGAGAATACCTCACTGAAGATGGTAGAACGCAACGTCTGCTGTGGTGGCTAGTTATTTCAGGGGCGTATGTAACCATATGAACAGTATTACCGGCAATGGTTCTGGAAAACGTGCAAGCCGCGACACATCTGTCCTTTTTCGCTCAAGAATAAGGGACGAATAATGCACTAAATTTCGCGGAGCAATTTCGACGGCTGCGATTTTTAAGCTTGAGATCATTGAGCTGTATTAACCGCGACCGTACGCTGGATTATAACTCCTTTAATATCGTATGCTTCATCGTTAAATAATTTGCCTCTTTCGATGGACAGTATATATGGTTGGCGGCATCCGGTT